ATATTTGCAAATATATTATTTATAACTATAAGAATATATACTATTTGTTTGAACAAAGATTATTAATAAAGCTTTTGAGATATTAATTTGGGATGAATTTGGGATTTGGGCAACAAGTATATCTCACGGATCCGTGAAGTCACATTTAATTTTGGTTTTAAAGTTAATAATCATTTTGATTCTTAACTATTGTCACGTGTAATATGGTAGCAACAAAATAATTACAATTAAGAATCACGAATAAAGTGTCAATTAACATGTGACCTTATCTCTGCCTACGTTAAGGCAGAGATAAGGTCATGTAAATCAACTTAGATTACAACGCTTGACAGTTATATGATACAATCTTGAAAACCGTATTTCCAATTACAATAAACAGATACTGACTATATTTTTCATATGTGAATTTATAAAATATAAAATTAAATTTTTTAAAAATAAATTCAGCACCAAAAATCGTTAAAATTTTTGAAGCCAATTTAAAATATTCAAATATACTATTTATTTGGTAATATATTTAGCATTGGAATTCTTATAAAATTACAACTACTCTTTTTACTAGTTACGTGAGATTTTGAATTGTGGAGCGACAGTCGCAGTAATCCCAGACCATAACAATACCCTAATCCATATGTGAATAAGCAGAAACTTCGTTTCCGCTAATTTGACTTATTTTTTTCATCCACACGATTTACAGCAATTGGTGATCTTAAAAAAACCGTTCTACTCACTTTTCCTCCAAGTAAATTGCTAAAACCTAAAAAAACTAAATTCTTATTCTTGTTAAAAGCATTTGCTAATGGTTTTTTAAACTCAAGTCCAAGTTGATTATAGCTAAGGTCTAAGGAGGTTAATGTGGTATTTTTACAAAGAGTATCTGCTATTATTTTTACAAACGAAGGTCTGAGTTGATTATCGCAAAGGTTTAAGGAAGTTAAAGTGGTATTTTTGCAAAGAGCATCTGCAAATGCTTTCCCACCATCAGAACCAAGTTGATTATTGCAAAGGTTTAAGAAGTTAAAGAGATATTTTTGCAAAGTGCATCTGCTAGTTCTTTTCTAACATCTGATCCAAGTTTATTTCTTGAAAGATTTAAAGTTGTTAAAAAGATGCTTTTGCTAAGGAAATTTGCCAAGTCATAAATATTTTCATTATTAATACTATTAATCTTTAGTTCTTTAAGTTTTTCACTTTTTCGTAAGAACATTGAAATTAAAGAACGCAAAAGAGTTTCAAAAATAGATTTGCGATTTTCATCAAACTTTACAAGAAAATTCATCATTTCAATTTTTAAAATAGATTTTTGATTTTCTTCATACTCTACAAGAATAGATTTTTGATTTTCTTCATACTCTACAAGAAAATTCATTACTTCAAATTTCAAATCATCAGTATCAATAGATGTAATAAAGCTCGTATATTCAAATAATGGCGGCTTCAAATTGTTTTTTGTATTTTCAATTTTTTTAAACATATCGTAAAGTGCTTGTTCGTTGGCATTTAGAAAAAAAAGACATAATTTGATAACTCTACTATCTATAAAACAAGGATTTCTCCATAGTATCAGTACAATTATTTTACACTATTCGCGATTCACAAGAAGAAATGAAAATAGGTTTTTGTAATTATACTTTTGATATTCAAATATTTCTATAAGAACTTCATTAAATAAACATGTGAATGGTGATTGGTTCAAAGCCATAGTTTGTTTAAAGATTAAGCAGAAATTCACGTAAGATTTTTTTTAATAATCTTATTCTGAATCCTAAAATTTGGTTTTCCCTTTATTTAAAAAGTTTTCCATTTTTAGTTAGTATGCGTATAGCCAAGGAGTGGTCCTGTAATTTCTAAAAAATTTCTGTCTTGCAAAATATATAAAAAAATTTTTTTTTAAATATAAAAAAAAATTAATAATCTGGGTTTTTTAATATAAAATAAGTTTTATATTGGTTAAATATTTTTATAATTGTATATTTTAAGCAAGATATATAATATATTACCATTTAGTGTTAGAATATACGTATTAATATATATGTTACGTTGTATAAATAATTTTTTAGTCATATATAGACTATTGATAATTCCGGTTTATCTTATTATATACAATCAATATATGGTCTCTTACATCTATATAACTATATAATTAAAATTAATCTCGAATATTTGAACTCTTCTCAGATTAAACCAGAATTCTGCCTAAATATATATTTTAATTCTGTCCCATATTTTATACTTTATTTAATATTCAAATTCTGCCCAAATTAAACCCTAATTCTGCCAAAATTTATACTGTAATTTTGTCCAAATTTATTATCAAATTCTGCTCAAATAAACTCTAATTTATACCTTAATTTTGCCAAAATTTACATTCTTATTCTGCCCAAATTTATATTTTAATTCTGCCCAAATTTATTCTCTAATTTTGTCTAAATTAAGTTTGGCAGAATTCAAATATAAATTTGGGCAAAGTTAGAGATAAATTTTGGTATGTAAAATATTTAAACTATAAATTCGAATTTATAATAACAATTTTTAATATAAAAGCCTTCTTTTTTATTATAAATACTGAATTTAGCAAATTGCGATTTTAATTGTAATTATTCTTATTAACCTTAAGTTCATAGCTTTTACTTATAAAAAAAGTCAGTGTTATTATTGCAAAGAATTGGGTCATATATTTGACAATTGAATAAATAGTATTATCAATGTAATAATGAATTATACATTTTATTTTTTATTCAACTTGAATTATTTATCTTGGTGTTGAAAAAATTTTTAGATTAACACTCGAGAGAATTTATGTGATCTAATGTGATGTGATTTAAGTTCGTTTGGATAGGGTTGCGAACTATAAACTACTAGTTTTTCAAAAAAAAAAGAACTACTGTTAGCTTTGGAGTACAATTTATATTTATAAATATCACGGTGAGCCAGCATTATACAGAAATATTGATCACGAGACCTTATCTCTGCCAACATTAAGGCAGAGATGAGGTCACATGAATCGACTCATAAAATTATCTCTAACAAGAAAAAATAGTAGTAGTTACGGTTTTAAACTTTAACGACTATTAAAAAGAAAAATAATATCATGTATATATATATATTTTTTTTTTTACAAATATTCACCTTATAATAGCCAAATTTATACAAAATCTTATTCTAAAAATTTTGTCTTTCATAAAACAACTTTTCGCAATAAACTCGTATAAAATTATTAATTAATATATTTATTAAAACATATAAATTTTTTAAATTATTTGCTAATAATAACGCCTACAATGCAGGCACTGCATAAAACCACATATATTGAACTATTTAACCCAGCACTCATAATGACAACGATTGAGGATATTGAAAAAGAAAATTAACGTTGATGTAAAAATAACATCCTTCGATGATAAAATCTGCAAAATTTTTTTATAAACCATTTTTATCAATAAAATAAAATTTTAAATAAACAACGATTGATCGCTTCGCAAAGAAATCCAAGAACAGATTATCTCCCTTACGCAAAATCCAGTTCATATCAAATAAATATAAAAAAGTACTATACACATGTAGAGACATGATCCGTTCAATTATTTATATATAAAACTTCAGTTTTTATACAAAATAATTGAAAGGATCACATCTCTATATACACGTTTTTAAAGTAAACTGTAATTAATAATTATATCTAGCTATAAAAAAAAATTATACAATACTATTCTGAGGCAAGATATGTAATATACATTTACATTTATTTTAATGCAGTATCACAATGTTTTTAAGCATCATGTGCATTTAGTGTCAGAACTTATAATTTTATTAAAATATATTAATACAATAAAAATTAATCCCATATTGTAAAATATAATACGAAACATAAATATATATTAATTTATATAGTTCTGAAGTTGCACTAGCCTTAAATAGATTATCGTTTGATAATACAGATACCGGTTTATCTTATTACTGTATTTTACATCTGTCCTGTATATATATAAAAATAATCTCGTATATAATCAAAATATACTATGCATTTGTTAACCTTCTTTATATTTAATTAATAAAAGATCCAAGCAATTTAACGCCGCCATTATAAAATTTTTTAATGTAATATCATTTTTATTGTTTATTTCTTCAAGTTTTCATATTTTATGGATTAATTGGCAACTTCCCTCTTTATCCTTTAAATCTTGTTTCTAAGCCTAATTAAAATTAATCCTGAATATTTGTGATATATTATTCGAAATATACAAGATTAATATTTTAATTTATCCAATAAATCGTAATATGTAGTGTAATGAATAATAATATATTCGTACAGCAATAAGTTATTAGTTAATAAATTATATTTACCTTGATATTGTATTGTATAGTTTTTTTTTATAGCTAGATTTAATGATAATTAACAGTTAACATGAGTCGTAATTGATCTAGGTGCGGACATGTGATATAAAAAAAGACAGTTATTATTTAAATTCAAGAAGTTGAATGAAGTGTTTACTTCAACACTGATATTAGTATTTTGTTTTACATTGAAATAACAATAAATTGTAAGTACATTTAATAAAATTTTGTATTAAAATAATAACGAGAGACTATATAGTTGTTTTGATAGTTTTAGAATATGAATTGCAATTTTTCGGTGAAACTTCGAGTACCGATATGTGTAATTGGTGTTGTAAGAAAAAGAATGAATATCTTTGCTCCAAATATAATAAAGAGAAGCCTTCACTTGAGAATAGCCATATTACTGTAGAAGAAAGTGATGATGAATATAATGAATTGAAAAATAAATGGGAATAGGGAAGCACTTATCATAAAAATTATAAATGGTGTGAATTATGTTATAAAGCTAAACGTTATAGTAAAAGTACTAGTCATAATTTTTATAATTGTAGGTATAGAAAAATAGAACCATTTGTGAAAAAAGTTAAATGTTCATTTTGTTCTAAGTTATATTTTCCTAAATATCATGATGAAGGTTTTTTATATTTGAAATCTCTTCCTGATGATGATCCTAGACGTTCTTTACTTTGGAATTCCAATTGGTATAAAGATGATGAAAATAATTAGGTTGAAAATTATCAAAGTAAAATTTCATGTAATTTTGATCATGTGAATAATTCTGTCAAATTTTTATTTGTAATGTTGGCGCAATTAAAATTAAAATTTTAATGATTTGCCCGAATTTAAAAGGCCCATTTTTGAGATGATTATGAGGTAGTAAACCCGTTAAGATAGGTATTTTTTTTTGATTTTTTATATAGTTTTTTTTTTAATACCATAAACTTTCAGATTCTGCCTCTATATATAAACTATTACTGTACCGTATCTGACTAAAATTTTCCTTTTCAACTGCTACTACCCTTAACAAATTTTTTATAATCAAGATGCGAAAATATGATACATGATCATATGATTATGTGGTCCCATGGGTCTGTGGGATCATGTAATCTTATTGGTCGATGTAACAAATTTCAATAAATTTTTTTATTTATTTGAATTCTACGGATCCATAGAATTCAAATAAAAAAAATTATCAGATTTGGTCATGTAGTAGTCAAGATACTTTGCTCAAATTGCAAAATTTCATAAAGTAACAGTAATATTCTATTCCGTTCTAGGCAATATCAAAACTCGTTCGCTCTGAGGTAGTGTCCAGTATGGTTAAACTCTGCTATCCTCAGTGGGTATGTGGTAGGAATGCTTAGGTAGTGATGCAAAACGGTTTTGCAGAGCCGTGAGCCGATCAGCTTAGCTGAGCTAATTTTCAGCTTAGCTAACTAACAGCTCTACTAACCAATGGCTCAGCTTGTATTATATAGAGTTGATTTAGAGCCATGAGCCGATATCACAATTACTGTAATAGTAATTAATAATAAACTATAATAAACTATAATGATGATGATAACATTATAATTAAAGACAATAAAATTTAATAATAAGCTATAATAAACTATAACGATGTCGATAAATATCATAATATAAAGACAATAAAATTTAATAACTATAAGAAACTATAATATAATTTCGGACAAAATTAAGTATAATTATATATTTGCACTTAAAATAATATTTAAAATTCAAAAAAGTGAATTTACGTTTGCATAAAATTAAAAATGCATCCTTATTTTATAACCATTAATGCTAAAGGTTCAAAATTTTATATTCATAAAGACTATATAAAGAAATATCCAAAAACGTACCTTTATAGTTTGATGAATTTTAATAATTTGAGGAATGGTATGTGAATAATGCATACTATTTAATTAATTTTTAATTT